GCAGCAGAGAGAATCAGCCACATGTGCTGCAGCTGAGAGACATTAACGAGCGCTCATAGACATCTGCTGTGATCCTCAACCCACCTTGATTCCAACTCCACTCTCTTCGGACCCTGCTCCTAGCTTGGCTTCTGTTCATGGATTTCCTTGTGATTTCACTCCTTTATTAGTCCATATGCATCTTGTACTCCTGTCCCTTCACTTGAGCTACTGAAGCTATTCAACACAAGGGTCTATTTATTTGGATCACTGTGCCACCTGCTCTCACACATGTCACACTACCTGTCCATAGGCTGCTTGCTCAGCAAACTCTTGGTTTCTAAGCCTCTGCCTGGCATCTGATTTTTGCTGTTTCTCTTTCACTCAGCCTGGTCCATCGTTGTATATTATATCCATCTGGCTTAGACCCTTCCCTGACTCCGATGGAACTAATGTCCTTAATGCTCCTGGACCTGGGACCCCTTGCGCACTCGGCCCTATGCCTGCCCATCTTTAGCACAGGGATGAAATCTGCCTAGTTGCACAGTTTGGGAATGTTACATGTGGGTGTAAAAGGAACTAATTACATATTCCGACTTAATCTGTCTCTCTCCAAGTGAGATGATTTCCTTAAAGTCAAGTGTTTTCATCCGCATTTTCACAGAACAAGGCCAAAAGCCTCAGGAAATGTAAAAAGAAGTTTATCATACAATATTGAAAAAAACAATTATTCTCCTTCAACTATCCCTTCATTGCTGCTTAGCAATCCTGCTATTAAGCTCTCGGTATTCTCTCAGCAACACTCACCAGCAGCCATTCCTGATCTCTCCGGCCCCTAAATCTCCCCAGAAAATTCCTTCTTTAGAGGATCTCCTTTTCTTTGAAATGGAGGCCATTTGAGGTCATCTCCTTCTATACATTCCTTCCTTCCTTCCTTCCTTCCTTCCTTCCTTCCTTCCTTCCTTCCTTCCTTCCTTCCTTCCTTCCTTCCTTCCCTTTTTTCCTTCCAGTGAAACAAGAAAGAACACCTCCATTCATGTTCTGATCCATCCACCCTTGTCTCCAATGGAATTAAAGACTTTCTACCACTCCCATCTGAACCTTCCCCAGCTAAAGGGTGTCTCCCTGGTCAGTTACAAAGAGTGGGTTCACAAAGGACCTTCGGGATTTAGGGATTTTACAGATTCCCAAAGATATCCAAAACAACAACAACAACAACTGGAAAGAACACCTGGCAGGGCCAACCTCATTACCTCTCCTTCATGGCCATGCCCTCCTCTTACAACACATACCCTCCTTCTGCCAATTGTGAGTTTAGGGGTGAGAAGCAGAATGGCTTCTTTCCACAAAAAAATTGCTCTAACACCAACTCTGGCTGGTCTAACTTTTCTCCTTCTGTCTTAAACAGTGAAGAGGTTTTCCCCTATCTCAAACCCATCTGGGCTTGCCCCTGTGCTATTCTCTGTGCCTCCTCCTAGAGCTGGGCCATTGCAATGGTCAGTGTTGGCTCAGGAAAGCCCCCTTGTGCCCTGAGGATGGAGGAGCTAGGGAAGGTGGTAGCGGTGGAGGGCTGGGGGTTGGGAAGTTAAGGATGCCCCCAGTAGTCAGTTACAGGAGAGCCAGCTGGGGGTTCTAAAGACTGAAGCAAACAGAGGTGAGAGGCCAGATCCAGGGAGCAGTCTGGTCTCAATAGCAACAGGAACCAAAGCCAGGTGCTCCTGATTATCTCACCCTCCCTGCAAGGTCCGGGCTTGACATGCTGGGATTAGTTCCATGCTTTTGGCTGGAGGCAGAGAAGCTGCCTCATTTACTAAGGCCTTTCCGTTGTCAGCACCTTGTCATCGGTCTTCAACTCAACCGAATCTTCAGGTTTCCTGATTCCTGGCTGTGGCCTTGCACCACGGATGACCCATCTTGTTCTACCTCCTGATACTTGTGTCTTTTTGTCTTTGATGATCAAAGCCAAAATTAAGACAACGTTGGGGTGGACGGGCATTCCCTAGTTCTACAAAGAGCTAGGACCCATAAAGTACCACGCAAGGATCCTCAGCTATGAGGAAGGAGCAGATCATTAGGGACACTAGGTGAGAAGTGGGGATGAGACCAGCCACGACGAGCCTAATGTCCAGAAGACTCCAATTGCAGACAGTGTAGAGAAAACAGCCTGTACAGAAGATGGGGTCTCATCTCCTTTGGACACCTTAACCACCATGGGAAGTAGGAGAAGCATAAAAATGCCCATAGGGCAGATGAAGTGGAAGAATGGATGGTTTCCTCCTCAAAGGTCAGGCTATGTAAGGAGAAGAACCAGCGTGGAGACAAAGCTCTCACAGCAGTGCTCGTGAGTGCAGCCTGCACTACAAGCATCTCTTTAAATGACCCAATTACTCAGAACCTATGGGCTTCTCTCCAATACCAAACTTGGATTAGCCTGACAAATGAGGGACTTTCAGTAAGGAGCTAATGATTCTATTTTCAGGCTCTGAGAGAATTTACCCAGAAAATTCTGTTTTAAAGTCTGAAAATTCTTTGGCAGCATCTTCCTAACCTCCTCCTTAGTCCTACCATGTTATTTGCATACCACTTTGTCAGCGTTTTCCCCTGTCCCCCCACCCTGGCCTCACCCCACCACATTTCTGAGACATGTGAACGATTGCAGGCAGATGGGGACCAAGCTAATCCCTTTTCCATGCCCATCGATAAGTCAGTTTTTTGTCTTGCTGAAGAATGACCGAGTGGTGAATATGCTACTGTAAAAACAACAAATGGAGACAACTACATGTGTTTTTAAGAAAAGACTTACCGAGATGCCTTTTACTTAACAGAACAGAGAATACCCAGGCTGGATTCTGGTACTTTCCATGGCTGGACAAAGGGCCAACCTATTGCCCCAAAGTAGAAGATCCCCAGGCCAGTCATAGGAGCCAACTAGAATTATTAATTGCCTCACTGTGGGAAAATGCTTAATGTATCTCATTTAAACCCTTTAAGTTGCATTTCAAACCTGGTTCTCCTCTTTAATGAAAGAATTATATCTGTTTGAAGCAATCTTTTGGTCTGAATTATTTAAGTTGCACGTTTCTATTGGCTTTGAACAATGGAAAAAAACCAGTGTGTTACCAATGGTTTAACCCATTGTATATTCCTGGTGTGTGCGCCAATGTATTTCTCTTTATTAAATGGTTTTAATAAAATGAAAATCCTTGCACTCTGGTTCCACTGGGTTCCTTTTACCTCCCTGTATGGGGAGATGCATTCTAGCTATTATTCAACAGGAGGAGAGTAGTGCAAAGAGCTGCCTAAAGTTCAACAGAAAGTAAAATATCAAATCCCTTTGCTCCATCACTATGCACAGTAGAACACTGAAAGCGTTATTATTTTTTAAATAATGTTTTTTGGGAGGTGGGGAGCACCTGGGGAGAGGAGAGAGTGGTGGAAGGAAATTCTGAACTGTCAGGGACTGGGAGATGTTGGTCTCAAAATGGAATCTATGACCCTCAGATACCAAGATTATAGATTCCCTTCCACGCTGCATTCCCTACATGGTTTAAAGAACAGTTGAAAAAGAAATTGCTCTCCATACTGTGATTGACACGAAAAACACTGTGGAAATGGTTTGGAACTTGATCTCTTCCAGGGAAGGATGATAATCAAACTAGAGCTCTCGCCTGCAGCCTTTCTCTCACACTTACTCAGAACCGTTCCAGGAAGAGAAACTCACAGGGAATTCTGTTATCATATATCACTTCTGGGAGGAGAGAGAGGCATGCTCAAGAAAATTATCCCCCCAACTTCCAAATACAGAGAGAAGATTCCATGATTCTCAACACCAAAACCACCTCACTCCAAATGGAATAAAATCAAATTGGGCCAGTCGTTTGGAGGAGGGAAGCTTGAATACCCAAGGTTTACTTTAAACATGATCAGAGTCACCTTTTTTTTTTTTTTTTTTTTTTTTTTTTTTTTTTTTTTGCCACTGGTCTCCACTTACATTCCAGTGCTGGGGGTCTGGTTTTGCCAATCCCAGTAGGAAGACTTCACTACTTTGGTTTATAAATCCATCTGCATAGCCTTGGTAACAGCAGAATACCAAGCACGTTTTCTCCTCCCGTGTTTCCGACCATGCACTGCCACAGCACTGAAGTCCCCTCCACCCCTCACAGTCAGCTCTTTCTAGTCAGGTTACTACCACCCAGCTGCCCCGTACCACTGTGGGAGATGCCCAAATATGTCTGACTCTCCTGAAATGAGACTGGGTCCTCCCTTTCTAGAACCCACTTGCCTCCGACAGCTTTGCAAATAATCCGGGTCCCACGCGGGCACACTTCCCGACAGAAAAAGGAGGTTTCTCAAGAAATAGTTTTGGTGGGATGTGGAAAGCAAGTTCTTCAAAACACACGCGCCAGCGCCTGCCTGCTCGCATTATTGGGTTTTATAGGAAACAGATCGTGGTAGGCACCTCCTGTTTTAGCAGATACCAGATCAGTTACATTAACACACACACACACACACACACACACACACACACACACACACAAAGCATCACTGTTTGGCTTCTCGTCCACCTAAAAAGTTTTGTTAAAAGCAGACCCTCCTTAAGCCTCTGCTCCCAGGAGGGACCGCTGGTGTGGGCAGAGAGCACAGAGCACAGCACGTCCATGTCACTCACTCACTGGGCAACCAGGTACCACCCCCATCGCACCCCCAAACAAAAGCCTCTTCCCCTCAAAGTCCCGGTGGTCCCTGCACAGACACTTCTCTAGATTCCTCCCCCACCCCCACCCCCCCACCCCCACTCCCTAGTCCCAACTCCAAGAACAGAACTTGAAATCGCATCCTGCCCGCCTCCCGGGAATGTCTGCAGAGCAGCGAGGCAGGGGCTGACTCTGAGTCTGCAGGGCTGGTTCATTGGCTTTTGCAGCCTCGGTCCGCCCAGCTCCCTTGGCGGGGAATGCTGGATGCAACCAGGAGGTTCCATCCCCGGGAAGAGAGGAAAAGCAAGTCCTCTGCGCCTTCCTTACCTCCTAGGCTGGACCTTCTTCCCGGGGACCGGGTGGGAGAGGAAGAAGGACTGCTTTCCGCCGAGCACAGGCAGGCAGCAGGCAGCAGGCAGCGCGCAGGGCTCTCTATTCAATAAAACGCAGCCCGCCCTCCCGGCCCCGCCCCGTGGTCCGGGCTCCGGGAACGCACACCCCCGCCCCGTGTTTACAGCCAGCGGCCGGCGGTATGCATTGTCCTGTAGGTTTTTCTAATAGGCAGCCAGTGACGACACCTCGGCCGAGGTGGATGCAGCCTGCCCCGTCGGAGATGCCTGTCATTCCCCAGGCATGCTCAGGAAATCACTCATCAGAAAAACCAAGACCTAAAAAAGCTCAGAAACGGCGCGCGGGCTGCCAAAACCAGCCCGCTCCATGCCCTTTTTTGGTGATCCTTCAGCGGGGCCTCTGGAAGTGAATCCATTGTCAGGAACAATCATAAGAAATGTTAATCTTGGAGCAGGAGGCTGTCTTGGGGAACACCAATGGGACTTTAAGAAAAGAAAGCACAGTCTATGAAACCAAAAGTTCACAGTCCATACGTTTATTGGGGGTGGGGTGGGGATGGGATGGGCGAGGGTTTTTAATTGAGGGAACCTGAATAGTATATTTCTTGTGAAAGTGGTTGTAAATACGAAAGGAAACAAAACATCATTATGTCATTTTAAAGGCTGAAATGACTGGGACCCAGGACTGGTGTAGAGACTACATTCTTTTTTTATTTATATATATTTTATTGATTTTTTTTTTTTTACAGAGAAGGAGAGGGATAGAGAGTTAGAAACATCAATGAGAGAGAATCACAGATCAGCTGCCTCTTGCACACCTCCCACTGGGGATGTGCCAGCAACCAAGGTACATGCCCTTGACGGAATTGAACCCGGGACCTTTCAATCCGCAGGCCAACGCTCTATCCACTGAGCCAAACCGGTTTCGGCGAGACTACATTCTAACCTGAGAGAGACACAGCCCCCTAGCATGTGTCTACACATGTTATAAAAACAACTGACCAAAAGAGCCGGGGTCTTTTAGAGCAGGCAGTGTTTGGGTAGCACCAGGCTCTCAATGAGGTAGGGTCCTACGGGCCTGGCTATCCTTATTGGTTTCCCACTTCCCCTTCCTCTCCCTTGCCCTTTGGTTCCCTCAGATTTGTCAATGGGGAGCCACTGCAAGAAAGTATGCAGAGAGAGAGGGCATGGAGACACCCAGCACCTACTTTGGGGCTGGTGTAGACCAATGCCTATGCCCACAGAGGTGACACTAATGTTCTAGTGACTTCTTGAAAGTACTGAGACCAGCTCATCATTGGTAGAATGTGTGCGATGGGAAGGACAGAATTAGGAGCTGCCAAATTAGAAGGAAGTTAGCTGGCACACCTGCGCAGTCTGGCACTTTTAAACATAGAATTCACTCAATCGGTGCTTGATTCAGCAACAACGAAAAATTATGAGCACCTCCTGTTTGTCAGGTCTGGGGCCAGGTGCTAGATTTATGCCTTTTTGTTGCCATGTGTTTGGAGACGATTGCATCACTGACAGAAGAGTTAACCTATTCTCCTTGGCTACTTGCAAGTCCAGAAGCTTGGTCTTAAAATAAATCGGAGGCCTTACTATGTAGGGTTTTCCCTATTTATGAAGGTCTGATTTGAAAATGATCTCTACTTGGGAAAAAGTCTCCTGACCTCTGTGCCTCGTTCGGAAGCACGAGAACTGACTGGTCCACATGTTTGGTGTCCTTCCTTCAGCCCTCCAGCATGAATAAGTTACTCAGAGGCATCTGTATCCATCTGAGACTCATCTTGTGATGGGTATCTCCCGGCAGTGTGGTCCATAATTCTTGGGAAGGCTACCCTATCCCCTCTCCCCCAGCTGCTACTGCAGCCTAGCCTAAAAAAGCCACGCTGAAGGCTGCCAGGCGGAGGGAGAGGTGAGCTACAGGCATTCCAAGTTAGAACGCAGAAGGCACTTTCCCAGAGAAGCAGGATAAATAATGGCTGGTGGGAATGGCGCGGTCAAGGCCACGCTGCCAGTACACCGCAGCTCCACCAGGCATCTGTGCAGCACCATCTCTGCAACATTGTTCCTGTGGGAAAATGTCTTCTGAACCCAAATGGCTGATTTGGAAATAAACTTTGAGAACAACGCAGGGACGTTCCCTATCTGGACAGATGGTTAAGGTAGAACAGATACTTTTTAGTCTGCTGAACTGCTGGGTTTGAAGACAGGCAAGCGCAGACATCAGTGAGCTCTGGAAGCAGCTCCATCAGTGACGTCTGGGTGAAGATAGGAGCCGGGTCCCGAGGCGTTTGGGGCCCCGTGTTTCCACGCAGTACGGTCTGTAACTCAGCGAGGCCTGTGTTAACGTGCTGTTTTACACGGCCACTGCTGATTATATCCCAGGCAGCAGTCTCCCGGCGTGTATGAGTAATGCCTCTTGGTTGTACAGCATCGGGGCGTAATTTGCAATCTATGAATAAAATAAGTGCCAGCTTCCCAGAGGAAAGAAAAGTTGCACTACAAATGGGGGAAAATATTATCAGCAGGAAACACGGAAAGGACATGCATTTTATATGGTTTTTAGAAGATAAATGGCTAAATATTTTGGGTCCATGTTTTTAGAAAAGAGAAGTATGTTTCCCTAGATAAATTCTAAATACCTCCTATGCAGAGGAAAACGGATGAGCAGCCATTCAGCCTGTTTGAAAACAGACTTGTTGTGGAGGGACTATATAGTTGGAAGAGTAATTTAGCAAATTAATATACACCATGAACATTATTTTTTCATTGTCTTCTTTTTTTAATTAAGTAAGAATAATATATATATATAATATATATTATTTATTTATTATATATATAAATAAAAAGACAGGAAAGGGACTAAAAAGAAAGAAGATAAAGGTTGCCAATTTCTGCCATGGGAAACTTAGCTCTCATAGTACTTACTTTTTCCAGAGGTCATTTGTAAACAACACTAAAAATACACAGGATTTATATAGGAAGTTTCTGTGGAATATAGTTCCCACTTGGATCATCCCAGATAAAGAACAGCTTGTCTGGCATAGGCTATCTCTGCCTAATCAGCCATAACAAATCTAACGAGACATTTGGAAACATCTGGATGACTCATATTTTTTCAGTTCCAGCTGACTATGTGTAATCATGTAGATCAGTAGTGAGCAATTATATTTTGCTTGTGTGTCAATTTGGGAAAAGTAACGTTAGGCCATACTTTTTCATTTAAATTGAAATCACTTCGTGTAGTTCCATTGAAAACATACATTCTTCTTGCTTAAAACATCTTCTTTGCTGAACAGAACAGATATTGTGAACATTTTAAAAGGCAACAGAACACCTCCACGCCCTGCCCGCCACACACACACACACACACACACACACACACACAAACCTTCTTTTATCCAAATAAAGTATTTCCAGAAACTCAAATTGCTAAAACAATAAAATCAGACCTGTAGAATGTTGATACCAAAAATGAACAACAAAGACAGTACAAAGAGAGACACACACACACAGAGAATTAGACTAAGTGTATTTATGAAATTAATTGAAAATTTAACATATTGAATCCAATAGTGTAAAAAAAAAAAGATAATGCAGAAATGATTAAAATCTGGAAATCTATTGATGCATTATACAACATTAGCAGTTTAAAAGTGAAAAACATAAATAGAAAAAAGAAGAGAGCTTGTCTTGATAGGTAAAGAATAATACTTGGTAAAATTCATAATCACTTATGGAAAAGAAGGAGCTCTTAAAAAACTAGCAACAAAATCTTTATACTCATAATGAGAGATGTTTACCAGAAACCTACAGCAAAAATCATGCTTAATGATGAGATGTTAAAAATAGTCCCATTATAATCAATGAAAGGATGACTGTCTCTTCCACAAATGAAAAAAAGAGCTACAGGTTCTAGCCAAGGCAAAGAAAAAGAATTTAAAAAACAAGAGCTACTGGAATTAGAAGGAAAAAATATCTTTATTTACCATGATATGATTATGTGTATAGAAAATTCAAGAGAATCAACAAATATATTAGAAGTAATAAAAAAGTTCATAGCAAGATTATTGGGATCAAGTTCAGTATAGAAAAATCCAAAGATCCTATAACCAGCCATCTCTAATTTAAAAATATAATGGAAAAATATACTATTCCTATTGATAACAAAAGTGTGCATTATCTGGGAATGAGCATAACAAAGCATGTGCAAGAAAATTACAAAACTGGAGTTAAGGATGTAAAAGGTCTGTAAAAATGGTAAAATATGTCACTTTTCTGAATGGCAAACCTCAAAATTATGAAGATGTGAACTCTCCTTAACTAATCTATACATTTATTCTTCCAACTAAAATCTCTAAATGTTATATTTTGTGGAACTTGACCAAAAAATCTTAAAATTCATTTGGAAAAGTAAAGATCTAAAAATACGTACTGAGATACTTTTAGAGCATCTCTAATTAAGATAAGCGTTACTGGCCCAGGAATAGACAAATAGGTGAATAGAACAGAATAGAATTCCTTGAAACTGTCCCGAGCATGTGTGGGAACTCCTAAAATATTAGCAGAGGCATCACAGATCAGAGCGGAAGGGTAGGCTATTATCTTAACGCAATGTTACAATTGATTGTGTGGAAAGAAAAAAAATCAGTTTCAAAATTCCCACCCAACACTAAAAAAAAACTAGGTTGCATAAAAAACAAAACTTAGGAAACAATTAGGAAAAATTGTAGGTGAATATGTTTACACTAGATGTGATATGGAAGGGTTCTGAAAATAATGAAAAACAGAACTTATGAATGAGACTGAAAAAAAATTGAGGATATGGTTATACTTAGCAGATAAATTGCACAGCACTCATTTAGTTCTGCTGTTTGTCCAAACCCCACAAAAAATGATAGTAAAGAAATAAAAAATCATAAATAAATCTCACAAGACAGAGGGTTGGAATGAAGTCAACACGGAGTTCAGATGTCAGCCAATTTTTGCAATATGGAAAATGGACGGGTGGCTGGTAATGGACTTACCAGAGCTGAGAAACTGAACTCTGGCCCTGCAGAGTGCACGGCCAGGGCAAGAGAGTAGCTGGAATGAGACTCCAAAGCAGAAAACCTCAGGATTTGGAAGCCCTGGGAACCTCTGAAGGTGAGAGAGGGAGCAGAAAACA